GCAATTAGAGGGGGGGAGGAAGAGGGCCAGATGTTGCCAAATCCACAGAATCTTGACAATACCCCCCCCCCGGCCCCCCTCCCCGGTGGAACGGGCCGGACAATGGGCCGGCCAGACAGCGCGGTGGAGAGGAGGAGGGGCAGATGGAGACCCGTCGTCGCACAATAGACGGGCGGGCTGAAAGTCCGGGTTATTGGAGCTCAGTCAGCCTTTCACTCTTTTTCTGGGATTAGAGACAGACTGCCACTGGGGTTAATGTTCCTCTTGTGAATCTCGGAGCGCAGGGGAGTGTTAGCGGCCATCTGCCCCCAGTTAAACAGGAGCAGAGGACCGTACGAAGCTGTAACCCCCGAATTCACAATCATCTCCAGCCTCTGTTCCAGGGGCACCACTGCCTGCTTGATTCTGACAGCACCTGATGTTTTACTGGAAAACCCTGAACCACTCCTACACTAAGTACAGGTTTTGAGCACTTTCGCTGTCTACCTTTCGCTGCGATGAAGGGAAATTAGATTTTCCTAAACAGATTTTCCTTTGTCCAGTACGGGGTCACAGGCCAGCTGGAGCCTATCCCAGCAAGCAACAGGCTCACGGCAGGGTACACCCTGGATGGGACGCCCGTTCATCGCAGGGCCACACAGACACGCACACACTCACACCAGGGCCGGTGTTCCCAGAAGCCAGGTAACCCACCAGCATGACTTTGAATTGTGGGAGGAAACTGGAGCACCCAGAGGAAACCCATGTTATCATGGGGAGAACATACAAACTCCACCCAGCACCCCAAAAACCGAACACTGCAATGCTGACCACTGCTCACCAGAATGTAAAATGTAAAACAACGTGATCAAATTATCTTTCTGATGGACTATTATTTGTTTTTAGTTTAGCCCACAGAACTCAAGGAAATGAATGAAAAGATGAGCACCCACCCCAGAAACAACTGAATTTCTCAACTTATTCTTCTCACTGGTATAAACCACAGCACCTCCTGTGATGATGAGTCAGGCTAGATTTCCACATGGGTTCGTCTGCTCTGTTTTGTGCAGGGAGTTACGTCGCATTGATGATAAATCACCAGATCTAATACTGCTGCTCTCTTTTTTTCTTGTTTAAATAGTAATGGTAATAAATAGTAATAATTCCCTGCATTGACATACAACTTATATCACAGGGGATCACAGAGAGCTTCACTATAGGAGGGTTCCACTTCATCTATCACTGTGCAGGGCACACTGAGGCATACACAGGAGTCACTCTGCGGAAACAGACCAGGTGGAGGAGTGAGAAAGGGTTTCACAAACTGAATTATGGAGGGAATTCTGAGAGTCCAGACAGTACAAGTCCAGGGTGGAATCTAGCCAGGGTTAACACCCCAGCCCACTCACTCAACCCCATGGCTGACCCTGCGCTCTGACCCCCAGCTTCTCTCCCTGTCTGTGTGTCTGTGTCTCCATGGAGAGCAAGCTGGGGTCTGCGAAAAGACAAATTCCTAATGCAAGAAGTTGTATAGGGCTAATAAAGAAACATTATTATTATTATAACTGATAAACAATGCATTGGGATATTTAATAACCAAGTAGTCAGTTTACTCAGTTTGCTGTCTTATCTGAAGGTCGGTACCTTCCATAGCATTGTTCCTCTGTCACCATAAGGGGTCGCTGGTCTGGGGAAGAGCACCACTACTGGTCGTACAGCAGCAGCAAACTGCTTTCTCCCCTGAGGTCTTTCATCCCAGATACAGACCTGACCCTTCTCGCCAAACGTCAGCGATCTGATGAGATCAGGCTTCTAGGAGGTATAGCTGCGTCTATGTATGTACCGTCTGAAAATATACGCACACACACACGCACACACACACACACACAATGCGCTACCTCATCATTCACCCCCCCTCTTTCACACCCTGCTCAGTGATCCCCGGGCCTCCCCCTGCGCAGGGTGCAGAGATGCGCAGGGGTGCCTCCTCCTCCGGCCCTCTGAGCGGCACCGTGTTGCTCACAAGGTGAATGAAACAGCACAAGAAACCTCCTTCCTGAAGGAGCCGGACTCTGTGCCGAGCTTCAGGGCAATATGGAGCTGCTCCCTGCAGGACCTCTCTCTGGCACAGCGCTGACCCCCAGCCCTGGTGCAGCGTGATTCCCTACTCTCCGCTCCTGAACCACGGCAACCAGCACACACACTCAGCCAGGCCTTTGTTCAGGCACAAAGACTGTTGCCTTGCTGAGGCACACACACTGAGAGGCCTGCATCTGCAGCACAACCTCCCTCAGAATCTGAAGCAGTGATCTACCAACCCCCTTGCCAACACACACTCACACACACACACACTCACACACTCACACACAGTGCCCTCCCCCACTCCTTCGAAAAGCCTCAGCTGTGAAGGTGCAAATAGACTGATTTCTGCTCTTGCTGTCCTCTCGCGACCCCGGTTAACTGCTGTTGAGCACACATTAACAACAGGACAGCAGGTCCCCTCCGTCTCTGCCCCAGGGCCCCCTGGTCCAGCCCGCGAGCTGTGTGACCATGGAAACACCGGGACGCCGTGAACACCAGGGCAGCTGGAGGACCAGGTCTGGTCCTCCTTGAAGAGGGAGCAACCTCAGTTTCTGTTTTAAATCACCCCCATCTTGGTACCACCGATGTGCCCTTTGCACGAGTGTATGACCTTTGTCTTGACTATTCTCCTGTCCAAGCAGAAACAACATTATTGTCCTTCCTTTTTACAAAGAGGCTGCAATAAGGCACTCTGGTGTCCCATTGCAGAAGCACAGCACCTGACGCACGAGTGTGCACTTCACAGACACAGGGCGCAGGCTGAGGCAGGACCCTGACTGGGGCATCAGTCCATTTCAGGGCTCACAGACGGAGGGCACTGCAGAGATGCCGATTATCCTGGACAGCACGTCTTCGCATTGTTGAGAGGAGCACGGAAAGAACACACGCCCACACAGGGGAACACGCAGGCACCACGCAGAAGGCACCCCAAGCTGCAAACCAGCCCAGGCCAGGAGCTGTGAGACAGCTGTGTTAACTGCCATGGCACCATGTCGCCCATTAACAACCCATCTCCATGCATTTCCTCATTAATGAGACAAGCATGCGGCGCTTTTCATTGTTTGTATTATACTGTCAGCCATATGGACAATATTTTCTCAATAACCCTACCTACACCTTACAAAATTCATCAGGCAGCATGTTTCATCTTGTGGCTCTTAAAAAGGCAGAGAACTGTAATAAATGGACTGTAATCATTGAAAAACATACTTTTCTCCAGGCTCTTCATTAATATATTATCACAATCTTGTGCTTGGTTCTGGTCACAATACAATCAAAGGGATATTATACACTTTAAAAAGTTCAAAGAAGAGCCGTAGGTTTTTTTAATTTTATGGGATTATTCAATGCAGAAGGGTTAAGCAAGCTAAATCACTTCAGTGGAATACGAAGCGCCTCTTTAAACTGAGAGTTAGGGTTAGGGTTACACTGAGAGTTGTGGATGTCTGGAATAGCTTTCCTGGCCATTCAGCTGGGCTCCTCCAAGAACCAGGTGGCTAAAATTCCAGATTCTTCAAGATGAGCCGAGCCAGCTCCTCTGGGTGGTGCCTTTCTTCTGTGTCTGACCGAGCAATTCCACCTGTCTGTAAGACACCCTCCTCTCTCCCGGCAGTGCGTCTGCACACCCCTACCGGAGGCCAGGGGACTCGTGAATGTTGCTGTG